GAGATGCTTCAAGCACTTACATAGCATGGTCGCAATTATGGACAAAATGTAATGATTTCTATGGAATATTTCAGAGCATTAAAAAAATAAAGAAGCAACTAAGAAAATGTAAGATGAAATTATAATCGTGGGGCATAATACAAAAGATGTAGCCATTTATTTTCCTTACTGACTTACTTATATTAACATTCACATGTAAAGCAGTTAGGACAATAAAAAGCAATCCGTATAAAAAGAACACATAATAAACGGAGAATACAGAAGGAGAGGAAAAGAGGATGTTACATTAACTGCTCACAGAGAAGAAAAGAAGAAAAAAAAACTAATTATTATTTACGTTAATGAGATTTTTTCGTCTGCTTAATTAATTTAGATTTTGCCGTGCAGATAACCGAAACTCGTGGCAAAAAAAAAATCAAGAGAATGGAAAGGGAAATAAGAAGGAAGTATGGACGAGAAAAGAAAAGTTTCATTGAATTTTAATACGATACTAGCAATAGCAATAACCATTAATGAAAATGAGGCAATGAGGAAGATAATCGTCAGAAGAAGGAAAACCTGAGATAGAGTCAGAGAATGGGAAAGAGAAGGAATGATTTGGATAATGATTATTTCGTTGCTGAATAAAAGAAAAAAGAGAGAACAGAAAATTAAATAAAAGTAATTTTTGTTGTATTCTCAAGATATCTCATCCTCCCCGTCAATTAAAGACAGCAACAATGGAAAGACAACGAAGAAAAAAAAGGAAAGTGAGTACACAATATGGAAAAGAAGAGAGAGAAGGAAATACACATTCAATGAGTCAAAAAGGAGGAAAAATGAGAAAGAAGGGAAATGAGAAACAATAAAGATGAATAAAACGAAGTTTTTTAATTAAAAATAAAAGTTTACTCGGAGGTGGTGGTGGTTGATTGCAGCAGGAGCAGCACGCCTTTTCTCTTCTTCTTATTCTGCTTCTGCTGTAGCATTCTCCATAATTTCTTTATCTTGCGTGTAGTTACTGTTCTTGAGAAAATGGAAAAATTGTTTGCAGAAGATTTCACCCTTAATTTCAGTCATAATAAATTAAGAGCCTAATTTTTAAGGTTATAAAGGCCCAAAAAATTAACAGTAGTTCTATGTTAATAAAATTATTATCTCACACTGTTTAATGAGCTGAATTTGCATTTAAGATTCAAATGAACAATTTTGTGGTGATGATAAGATTTTTCATGGAAGTAAATCTTTTTTCAGAAATTAGCAGAAAAAAGAATAAAAACTAGAGTTAGGAACCAGGTGCCTGTTAGATGTACATACCTTATTGATTGAATGAATAATGTTACAGCTAATTAATCTAATGTGTTCTAGGATGTTAATTAATATTTAAATGACTCGTAGATTAATTTTCATGAAACATTCTGTCTAGTTTCGTTACAAATTAAGCTCAACATTAGTTATCCAATATTTTAAATCCCTGTGCATATTACTTCATTAAACTAATGGAAATATTTTTGCAAAGCATAACTCTTTAGAAATAATACAGTTATTCAATTTTATTCATTCATGAGCGTACCTTAAACCTTTTTTAATTAACACAAGTGCATTTAATTATTAAAATTTTCATTCATCACCCGAGTAGATTAAAAGTGAAAACCTCAATGAATAAACAACTCGAATGATACTACATATTATAATTAATTTACAAACACACTCTTGACGGAATATTTTGCATTTTTTCGATGTGTGATGAGAAGTGAAATTAAATTTTCTTCTCTCAGTGGTTCTTGTAATTCACTCACATTTTTCATGATGCACCTTACATATACTCCCTTTTTTATATTCAACATAAATTTTCCCAGCGCATATAAAAATGTTGTGTTCAACTCGTAATTATAATTGAGCGAACTGAGTATTAAAAAAATGTATACGAAAAAAATTTAATTATCTCCTTTCTACGCTGAAAACAGGGATTTCAAATGTCAGCATCTCATTATTTCATAATTTTGTATTTTGGTAAATAATAGAATTTTTTAATTTCATTTTATCGTGCTTCGTAAACCCCGCTAGCATTATTTCATTTTCATCATCTTTCTGCATTAAAAATATATTATTATTATTTTTTTGTGTTCATGAATTGTGTAATTAAAAATATTATAATGATCCTCTCCACCACCCACATTGACTTTTTTCATCTCTCGCTTTACTTGCTCAGATGTTATTGTTGCTGCGAATTATATACAAGTAGAACAGCTGAAATTTATATTGTCGTACTTAGAAAGCATATGTGTAATATTTTTGAAATTTTAAGGTGAAGCTAATTAGATTGATAATTAATTTTTCTTCAGATTTTGAATGCTTGATAGAACTATGTGTGAGGTCATGTCCTTTCTTTTGTAAATATTTTTAAATACCATAAAAAAAGAAAGATTTTTTTGTATTCTATCTTGATTTACCTTCATTTTTGCTTTTTATATATTTCTTATTCTTATGTTGCTCCCTAATAATGCCTATAACCCCGTCCTTTTAATTTTCACATATACAGTCACATTAAAAAATATTCATTAACAAAAGCTGCAGACAGACATACATTTATATTCATAAAACCATGAAAAAAGGGAAATGGGAAATAAAATTAAATTAAATTGCGGATTAAAATGATGATTTTTTTTCATGCTGTTGTTTTCAGTATAAAAAAGGCATTTTTGATTTTGATTTAATTAAAAAATAACATATTTTCGCTTTCCTCCCCACACCATTGACTCATTTTTTGTCTTCATACACACTCACTCCTAGCTATTGTTGATTTCCACATTTTCTCTTTCCAATTCATTCTCTTTTTTAATACGAATTGTGATGGAATTTTTTTAGCAATTTTCCTTCGAATTAATTGAATGTGTAAAACAGATATTCCTTTTTATTATTATCGTATTTCTCTTTTTAATGTTTTTAAGAAGTATGATGTCGTGCTATTTTATTTGATCAATTCAATGCTAATCAATTATTTCAAATATTTTTTAATAAAAAAGTCAACTTAGTTTTAAAAATACTTGAGATAGGGTTATAAAATATTAATCTGCAAAGGTCATTAAAGTTGAAAATATAATTCTTATTCTGATAATTTTCTTGGAAAAAAATTAAAATATTATAGAATAGAAAAATTGTTATTAAATAATTGAATCCCATCTGCAAATAAATTTCAATAAGTTAATATTACAAAAAAATGAAAGTAATAATAACAATCAATTTAAGAGATGGGAAGGCAGTTTTATATTATGACCCATGTGTGTATATTAAAATATCAAGAAGTGCTCCCAACAGACCCAAAACGTAAATGAGAGTAGCGCCAATAAAGGCATTCCATTGTGTACGTAAGGTAATAATGAGGCACTATAATATTGATATCGATATAAATGACACACATCTTATTCTATAGACACACATATATCTCCTCAACTAACTCATAAAAGAAAATTAAATTTTTTCTAACAACAAAAAAAGTGAAAGTATATGGAGAAAATTGAGAGAGAGGTTGCTAGAAAGTATGCAAGTGTATATGTGTAAAGCGATTAAGTTGACAAATTTCTTTCTCCTTTCTTTTTGCCTTCTTACTAATATGTATAGGACATACATACATTTTTCCACATGAGATCTTTTTACACATTGAGCAAAAGGCGAGTAAGGAAAATTATCTCATTCTCGTCATTCCATCACACACATCATTCACACACTTGAACGTCCCATCAAATTAAATTCCTAATAATCGTAATTGGACTATAAAAATTCCTACTTCTCGTTTCCATTCTCCGATATCATCGCCAGAAATTTTTGCCGAATTTAATGACTTTTCTTTTATTATTTATGTTCGGTTTTTATATGAAATTTTCTCTTTCTCTTCTTATCCATCCCTCTCCTTTTCTTGTCCTTTTTGCCTTTTTCCATCACAATTTTTTTATATGTACACATCTTTTCCTCCTCTATGGACCGCTTTTTTATGTAGCGGAAAAGATGGGATGAAAATGAAAATCATGAAATAGAAAAATTCTTAGAATAGGAAATGCTTATGCTACTTTCTTAAGTGTTTTTGGTTCCATCGAATAGATATTTACTTTTTTTAAATGGAATCTCATTTTTTGAAAAAGTCAATCCTCCCAAGATTTATACACGTATTATATATAGTTGGCAAATTAAACTTGTTGCTTCCATAAATCCTCACATCCTGTCATTTCGAGCGCTCACATATTTTCCACGCAATTCGTCGCACATACATACACATAAAAAATACTTTTATAATGTGAAATGTTTTGGAAATTTTGTTTTCCAAAATTTTCAGCCTCAACTGCTTTCACATCGATGATTTACGCTCATTGATTTATGATATTTGTGTCATGGAAAGGAAACATCAATTATTTAATGATAATTAGTCACAAAATTTGATTTATTTATAAAATAAACTGGTACATAAACTTAATCGTATTAATTAATGTTTTTAAAATTATTATAGCTTTTATTGCTGAAAATAAAAAAAATCAGTAGAAGCGATGGCAGGGTATCATGAGAGCTCGATCATTAGAACAAAACAAAAAAGAGTAGGAAACACTGATTAAACATTTAATTAAAAGAGATGAGAGAATTTTTCATTATTTTAATTAAAAAAAAATATTATCGTTTCTTTCAACTTGACTTTGGCACATTTTTGTATTATTAAAGAAGTGAAGTTCCTTTTTGCTTGCATTTCTGAGTGCAATTTAAACTATTATTAATTAAAATAAAGGAGCATGATGAATTTCTATCTATATATAGTGTGCAATTAAATCAAAAAGAACTGAGAATTCTTCGTTTTTCTTCATTTAGATGAAATAATAACAGATAATTAAATTAATTGGAATATTATGTCTGTTCTGCTCCCTGTGTGCATAATTTTCCTCAAGATCTTCCACTCGAATTGCCATGTTGCGACAGAAAAAAAAAATTAAGTAGCAAAGGAAAAGAAATGTTTTAGAGTCATTTAGTATGAAAATGGAAAATAATTGAAATAATTTGCACTTCCATGGATAATTTTTATAGTTTTAATCTAAAACGATTTTTAATGAGATTCCATTTCATCATCGACATATCTCGTTTTGTGCCAGAACATTATAATTTTCATTATTCTTTTTTTTCATTTTATCAAAAATATTGCTTTCACATTTTTAAGCACCCTATCTACTACAATTATTATAATTAATCATTTTAAATATTAATAATAGATTTCTTTCATTTCTTCGTTTGATCTACTGGCTCTCCTTATTTTCATATTGTTGAGTTTATCAATGATAGTTTAAAATTCGTCATGTCTCACAAGAGCTTCACCTATGTTTGGGATTGAAAAAATAAATATTAATATTGAAACTATTTTTAGCATGTGCTAAGGTGTTAGATTTAGTAGTTCTCAACAAATTATAGTTCTGCATAATGAGTAATTCAAATAATGAGATCTCCAATCTCTTATTCCTCTTAAACTCACCAAAATCGGTTGCTTGTGATCCAACAAACACATCGTATTTGCTGAGTATTTCTTCTTTGGTTAATTTTTCATCAGAGTCTGCATCAGCTTCATAAATTAAATGCTTGCTTTCAGCTTCAGCATGATCGAAATCATGTGGAATAATCCATTCCTTAACTTCCTCATTATTTAAAAATCCATCGTGATCCTTATCTCTAAATGTCTTAAAAGTTTCTCTTTCATGTTTAACCCATTCTGGTTCTTCAGTATCATCGTCTGTTACACGATACATGTCTCCAATGTATTCTTCTACAGAAATTTTTCCATCATTATCCTTATCGATATCCTCAACTGTCTCAGACACCACAAGATCGCGCATGAATTCACTCTCTTCTGGATGTAAAAATGATGTAAATTCTTCTCTTACTAATGAATCGTCTCCATCACGATCAGCAACACTCCATCTTCTTCGGTCACGAGTGAGCATTGCCTTGTATGAGAATCCATTATCTTCCCTTTCTAAATCGGCAGGATCCATTTCTTCCATAAATCCATAAACATTTTTCCTATAAACATCCCAATGAATTGTATCATTGTTATCTGGATTATGGGACCTCCACTGACGTTCGACATCATCTTCAATGTATCGTCTTTGTGTAAATTGAATCCAAGCTTTTAATTCGCTCAAGTCAACAAATCCATCCTTATTTGTATCAATCTTATCTACAATTATGCTGCAAAGAATAAAATAAATAAAATAAATGAAAAACGAAGTGTAATTTAAAGAAAGCACATAAATTATAAATTGTAATATTGTACGATAAAATAGTTCATTTCCTCTTCTTATTATTTTAAACTGTATCGCATGTTCATATGTCATTACAAGCGATGCATGAAAAATTAATTTAGGATGAAAATAAAGCGAATATAAAAATTAAAAGATTAAAGTAAAGCAAACGTACCCTAAACGTCTACGACTCTCTTCTGGAGCAAGTTGATCAAATGTTTTTGCTTGATCTTCTCCCAAAAATTGCTCATGATCATACTGCTTACTATGTTCTTCACCTAAATGCTGTTGAAAATCATGATCAAGCACACGTTTTCCTTCTTCTGTTTTTGGGACTGCACTTGCTGCTATTGAGATTATTGTAAATAGGAAGATGACAACTTGGTAGTTTCGGATCATTTTGATCATCTACTGACTTATGTTTATTTATAGAATGAGGAAATTTTCTAGAAATAGAAAGAATGATTTTTTTTTCTGGGTTATTCAATGAACTTTATTGCGAGGGAGCATGGATTTTTTGTCTTATCAAAAAAAATATGTCAAAGGCGGGACACACATTCATAATTATGTTAATGGCATAGAGATTTTTCTAGAAGCAAATTTTTAATGGAAGTTTTATGCTGCTTAATGTTCAGAGCTGGAAAAGTTTATGAAACGGAAGATGTAAGATTGATGTGGAGTTTATATCGATAGTGCATGTTAAATGCTTCAAAGAGAATAGAACAATAAGAATAAGTCTCTTTTTTTCCAGCTGATGCACATATGGGAGTTGAGGATATGAATGCTAAGAGCAAAAACATGTTTTTCGTATTATAACAGAACAAGATTATGGGGGAAACATCAGAGAAAATTTTTCTTTTGTAAATGAAGGAAATGTGTTGTGATCGAAAATCATTATGATGTAAATCTTCTTGTTCTTCTGTAAATCGCTTGTTTGCATTTGCAAATGTTTGTTTTATATACTTTAATTACATGGAGCTGTCGATTTGTCCAATGATTTATTGAACATTGGAAAGAAAAATTGCAAAAATTTATTTTTATCACCAAAAGATAAGAGGTTTAATTGACTTTTATCAAGAATATCAAACAAACACAAATCAAAACAAAAACAGAATTATGCCGATATGTAAAAAATTCACCTTTTTTGTGCCTTTGTAAACTGGGCACTTGAATAATTTTAAAATAGAAAGATTCTCGACACCGTTTGAAGTAAAACTGAATCGAATAAGTACTGAATTATATTGTTTTAGGGCTTGTTTTAAGTTAAAACTTATTTAGTTCCAAATCACAACTTCCAAATCATCACTACAGTAGGAACTTGCTGTATGATTCCCCCTTATATAGCTGTTCATACCTTATTATATATGGAATTTGATGTCATGGTATTGCTAGTGCAACTGTCAAAAAATTAAAGCCCCTCTGAGTTATTTAAATTTTTACTGACAGTTGATGAAAAAATGAAGCATGGCTGCAAAAATGATTTCATACTTTTCAATAACGTTAAAGAATATAAGACGTATCAAAAATGAATAAACCCCCAAAAAATGTTTATGATTTTACAATTCATTTAAATAATGTTTCCTCTTAAGAACGGTGTCGCCTGAAAGACAATTAGGCATAAACAAAATTTAATTATTAATGCTCCTTAAAGCACTTATATTTCCTTATCATGATGCAAAGATTCAGTAATATGATACTCGTAGAAGGATTTTGTCATGCTTTCAGTCAGGTAAAGTACATGACGTAAATTAAAGTATGTGGTTATCAGTAAAACAGTTTTAAATGAATCATTTAAATCCCTTTTCAACTACATTTTAAGTACTTCCTCCTTTATGATATTGCAGGTAGTTTTCAAAAATTTATGTGCATTTTGTTATTTTAAGACAGAAAAATCTCGTCATTCCTGTATCGGTTGTCGAGCACAACAGTTTATTTTCTTAGTAAAAAGTGAAAATTTTTAAAAATGACTTTTTTGGTGTTTTTTCTAATACTTATTGCTTTTCGAGCAGCAAATTCTATTCCAATTTTGAGCGATGATGAAACAAAATTAAACTCGATTGTAATTAGTGAAATTAATTTACCAACGGAAGCATCCTTGGTTACCACAGATCAGGAAATTGTTGCTGAACCAGTAGCTTCATTTGTGGATTTGGTAGAAAAGTATGAAGGCATGTATGGAAAGGAAACTGATAATGAATTTGCATTGCAAAAACGAAGTTCTACGGATGATGTCGATGATGTAAGTAATGATCCTGATGCAGGCGGAAAATCCTTAATTGATAAAATTGAAATACTAGATCCGGAAATAAAAAAAGAATTTGAAAATGAATTGCAACTAAATCAAATTATGAAGGATGATGACGATGAGACAACAGAAAATACGAATATTGGAACGGAATATGATCCAAATTATGGAAGAAAAATTATTGTTTCGCCCCAGGCTGATGAAAATGTCGCCAATGTTCGTAACGAATCAGCAATATTGAGTGTTCATGACAAGGAAAATTTACAAGTGCAATTGGTCGAGCAATTAGTTCATCAAAATGAGAATCAATATGAGTTTACAACAATTGTTCCGGAAGAATCGTTTACTGATCATGCATTAATTATAAATCCTGAAATTGTTGAAGTAATAGAACATATTGTGTACGAAAGCAATTCAGAATTAAAAGCACATGAGCATACAACATCTGTTCCAATTCCAGTTTTGAACATGGATATAGATCCAATTGAAATAATTCCAAAAGATCGTCATCGTGAAGCAAAGGACGAAAATTCAACTGACTTAAATGACAAATTTGCTGGGTTTGTTGGAATTCCAAGTCAAGATTTAATCCAACCAGGTGAAGAAACGACTGAATCAGATAATTTCTTTAGGAAAGAAGAAAATTCGGATGGAGATGATGTTGATCCTGTTGAGACAGTTCGTAAGACTTTGGAATATGTTGCAATTTATGGAAGATCATTAAACATTGATGATTTGGTTATAACAACCGAAATTCCACTATCAACAAATGAACCTGAAACTATGACTGTGTCTCCTGTAATGACTACAACAACTCAATTATTAACGAGTGCAAAACAGTTTTACGAGTCCAAAGCGGAAATTGTTGAAGTAAGTGAAAAAGTGACTGTGAATAATCAAAAAGGGAATGAGACTGAGTCTGAAAAATCCTCATCAAGTGAAGAATCGTTACCAAGTAAATCATCAGAAGAGAATGAGAGCAAAGAAGATGATAAAGAGAAGAGTAAAAATAAAAAAATTGAAAATTCTTCGACCAGTTCGGAAGAAGTGGAGGCTGAAAATTCAGGAAAAGAAGATTTAAGTGATGAAAAAATGAATTTAAGAAGTCTCGAATTTCCTGTTACTCAAAGACCAAACACCTTGCCTGAGGAAATTTTTAAAGACTCAACTGTTCATGAAATTAAGAAGAAAGATCATCCGGATGGAATTGTACTTAATTATGAATTTAAAGGGCGAGCATTAAGTAATGATAACCTTAACAATGAAGATGACGCAATTACCATGACTACAGTAATTGAGACCTTCGAAGAAGCTGTTACAACAATTTCCGAAGGAATTAATCTGTCAAAAGAATTGCGTCAGCATGTTGAGTCCTTTCGTGGCGATTCTGAAGAAAATAAAATTATTTTGGATACGGATAATGAAGCTATTTCATCTAAAAATTTTAAAAATCCTTTGGTCGGAGTAAATGATTTAGAGATGATGAAACTGAAAGAAAGATCTTTTGAGGAGAAACCAAAATTATCTGTCGCCATAATTCCACTCATGGCTGTTGTATCAGTTGGCATTTTATTCACATTATTTAAGTTTGTTAAAACTCAAGCTTCTTCCGTTAGATTTTATTAAATTTAAACGCATCATTTAAAAGCTATTAATTATTTTTGATGTTACTTTAATTAATTAGGATTAATCATATGCTTTATATTAACATCAAAAATTAGATGATCATTTTTTAATCAATAATAATTAATATTAATTAATATTTTAAAAGCAGATACCAACTTTTTCATTAAATATGCTAATTCTGTAATAAATTTAACAAATATAATAAATTTGTAATTTCTTAAAAAGATTATTATATTTGAATTTATTTATAGCGCTTTATTCAATTTATACAAAAAATATTTGCAAATTTCTATTTTATCTTATTTGATCGTGAATTTCTTAGAATATAATTTTCTAAAAAGTCTAGATTACTAGAATATTTCAGCATATTGGTGCTCTATTAAATATCCTGAAAATTATATAATTTTTAAAATTCTTACCCTTTTAGAAAATGTTCTGTTTGCAGTAAAATATTTTAGATGCTCCTCAAGATATCATCAGCTGTAAGGGAAAAATTCAGCAAAGAAAACTAGATTTGACTTTTGAATCTGGAAAACTTCCCCCCAAAAGTAAGAAAATATATTCAAATAGCTAGGAATTTTCGTAGAAAGAATTCAAGTTTACTCTCTACAATTTCCTAGACATATCTTACATATCTGACTGAATCAAAGTTTTTCTGCTTATTTTGTGCCAAAATTTGACGCCTTATAATTATTCCGTACATAAACTTAAAAGATTTAAGTTTTAAAGTAGGTAAAAATTCACCTGTCGTCACATTGTTTTATGAATGTCGCACCTTATACATTTTCACAGACACGAAACGCCCACAACTGATCTCAAACTTAATTATCAACCACTTGACTGCATTATTCAGGACTGTAATAAAAATATAATCATAAAACTCTTACCTTATTTATTTAGCAGAAATTCAAAAAATATTTTCACCTGAGAATTTTTAAAATCTTACTCGAAAATATGTTAAGTTGAAAAAGCTAGTAAAATCTTATATGAATGCAGTTTTTGAAATAAAAAAAATTAATCCAAACATTGAAAATTCACGATAAAATCACTGTTTTCACAATCAGAATTCATTTCAAGATGGCGAAATATGAATGAAATTTTTATTTAAGGATGTGAAAAGCGAATGAAGAAGATAAATTTCAAAACAAATCAGGGGATGGATGCTGTAGCTTTAATTTTAATAAAAGTAATGTTTGTTTTTTTGCAAAATTTCAACGTTATTAACAATCATAAAGAATATTTAATCTAGCATCCATGCCTTGAAATTTATTTTATTCTTGTGAAGCAGTAAGATGTATAAAAGTAAATTGGAATAACATCGAAAGCATGATTTAGAGGTTTTTCTTGCTGAGCTCATGCAATATGAAATAAAAGTCGGTTGTTCCTTGATGAAAGAAAAAAATAAATAAATAAAAACTTAAAGTGAATAAAAAACAAGATGGTGAAATATTAATCGAATAGGGCTAGTTTTATGAGAATGAAACATGATGAATGGCAATTTTTTTGTGTATTTTAAATTTTTTATTTAATTTTTCAATAAACCTTTTTGTTTTGATTTTCTCATCAAAAAAATAATAAATTTTCAATTTTTTTTTCATTCTTTTTTTGCTTATGATTAAAGATTGGTTATATATAATAATGTGTTATGTAATAGCATAATGTAGTACTTTATCAATGGTAACAATTTTTTTTTAATTATAGCATCAAAAACTTCGTCTTCAAATTTTTCTCTTCGAAAATTTTGAATTAAAAAATGTGTGACAAAATTTTTTGATTTAATAAAATTTAATCAATAATTCTTCTTTACCATATCTCTATATTTTTTATATATTAAATCTTCATCTAATTTAACAACAAAAATAAACTTTGAATCTATATTTTCATTTTAAAAATAAAAAAAATTAAACAATTTCTATTCAGAAAAAAGATATCTAAATTTAACTTAATATTCATTAAAAATCATTGATTAAATTTTGTTTGTGTTTTAGCATTTCTTGATTTTTTTTATTGCATCATGATGGAATGAGAGAAAGAAATGGGATAAGAACGCAAAACATATTGAAGAAGTGTAAAATATATTGTTTTGAATATGATAGCGGTGATAATGAATGTGATTGGTGACTTACTTGAAGGCTTCATAAGAACTTTTATCAAAAAGTCTTTAAAACTGCATCCTGGGTAAGAAGTATTCATTTAGGTCACCAAATCACATGCTGGTAGAATTAATTGTAGAATTTGTTTGAATTTGCACAATAACATGAAATATATATTGATACACATAGAAGAAACAAGAATAATGTCTAAAATTAAAATGATTTTTTGATTATAAATGAATTAGAAAAATGTAGCTAATGTGAAAACGATTCTATATCCGTAGATTTCTTTCATCTTCATCTTTTGTTTTCTACAAACTAAAATATTTCATAATATTTTTTTCTGTTATTTTTTTTTGAGGACTAGTTTCCCACCAAGTTTTATAATAGCATATATGCATCATTATTTCCTTAATTTTCCAATTTTTAACAGAATATATATTTACATAATTTTTTTTTGTTAAATATTTATCATTTTTAGGCTCAAAATTCAATCTTTCTTCGTCCAAACTAGTTTTTTTCTTAAATTTTTTTTATCTTTTTTATTTTTCCCCACACATAATATTCATGTAAATGTTATGTAAATTAATGTTATTCTTTGTCTGACACCAACGCAAACTAATCTAATGACCCTCTTTTGATTCCTCTTCTGTTTACTTCTTATTCTTAACTATCATTAATGTTTATTCATTTTTTGTGTTTTATGTTCCTTATTATAAAAATTTTATAAAATGAAATTGAAAACAATTTATCAATCTTGGATTAAAAAGACTGAAGAAAATTCAAAATGATGCTTTTTTGGAGCTAATGAAAGATCTGAGTGACACTCAATTTGTCGACTCAATAAAAAATGTATTTTTTAAGAATTTTGGCGTTTATTTGCAAAAGTGCATGGCAAGATTCACAAATTCTGTGTCACTCAAAGATGATAATTAAAATTTAATGGCACACAAAATTATTAGGCATTAAAAACGATCATTTTGAACTATTAAGAAAATTGGTTGTATGTTCGTAAGAAGCTTTAATGATAACGATTTAGAAATAACAAAAACAAAATAAAAAAAAATTCTTCGCATTTTCATAATTGCGAAAGACAACAAATTGTTAGAATTAATTGATTTATCGATAACGAAATGAATGATTTATGAATTCATGTTTTTGCATGTTTGATTGTGATTAAATGTGCAATGATTTTCGTATAAAACAAACATTTGTGATTATAGATTAAAGTGTGAAATTTTTTACAAATTTTTATGATTTTTTAAAAGAAGAATCGTTGAAGTTATGAGAATGAAATTGAAAACTTTATGACTAGTATTGTAATTTACAATACTACTTTTGATTATTTGGAGGTGTAGACTTTTATTCCAAATTTACTAAAAAACTCACCTCAATATGAAATTTTAAAAGTTTTTTTTTGAAGAAAATAGTTTTGTGTTTAATTGAATTATAAAATATTTTGAAATTTTAAAAAAAATGTACAGTTTATGATTTGACGAATGTCAGAATAAGTGTTGAAAAAATAAAAATAAATGCATAAAAAATTTTATCCAAAAGATTATACATTTAGCATAATTAATATTCTTTGCAGATATTACAATGCCCTAAATGTATGTGCCTTAGTATTGATTGAAAGTAATGATGAAAAAAATTTAAGCTTAATAAACTCTTAATAAAAATGATAACAATTGAATATATTGAATGATCTGAAGATAACAAAACAACTTGTTTAAATATGAATGACATGAATATTATATAGATATTTTGAAATGTTGTTTTATATGTGATTGTGAAAGAAATTTGTATGTCAGCAAATATTCATAAAAATGAAAGAAATAAAACTTTTTATTTTCTGAAATTCGTCTTGAATTCATTTTTATTTGAATTTTTCATTTTAAAATTTGTAATGGATTTTTCATCTTCATTCATCATTTTTTTATATTTTTTAATTTATTTATTTGAGTGATTCTTCAATATTTTGAAAGAAATTTGCACTAAATAATGTTTTTTTTATTAATTGATATTTCACTTGTTAATGCGACTAATTAATTTATTTAATTCATTTAACATATGCATTAATTCATAATGTGTTCATTATCATCTTCCATCATTCATTTCTAAAGATTAATTAATGATCTTTTAAATGTGTAACATAATGTTTTGTTATGTTTAATGTGTTTGAAGTGTAACTTTAATGGGGCATTTTTCAACTTTTTGTTTTTTTTTTAAATTTTTAATCATGTGTGAATATCACAGAACATTTAAAACCTATACACACTGCATTTTATGTCCTTTGTCACATGCCATCATTTTATTCATTTTATCTAACTTCTTTTCATTGTATTTTTACTACAGAAATTTTAGTGGTGAACTTGATTTTTCAGAATTTGATTAGTATTATCAACTTTAAAATGTCAAATTCATCACTAAAATTCTGTCATCCTGTGTATGAATATTGAACTTGATTTTTCTGCATGAAATTTTCCATTCCCTCTTATAAGTATTTAATCATTATTATTTTCTGTTTTAGTTAAAGGAAAAAAGTTTGAGGTTAAGTGAAATAAAACAAGAATAAAAAGTTTATTTTCTTTAGAATTGGCGTAGCTTTTCAGTCCTGTCACGCTTTTTTAAGCTACCTTTTCATAAGCATTCAATCTAATCAACTCTTGTTTCTAAAACTTGTTCTTGTTTAAAGAAATTCTTTGCGAAACTTCTTCATTTTCTTCGTGCGTCTTTAAATCTCCTTGCAATGAAATTTTTCTACCTCATTTAATTTTTCTTCACTTTCTTATGTTGCTTATTTCTTCTCATTAAAGAAATTAAGAAACTTTAAAAGAGGCAAGAAGCTTATTCCTTCCTGATTTGTTTGAGAAATTTCTTCCAACTTTTTAAGAACAAATAAAAATGTATGGTTCGAAGGTTTTC